TTTTCAAACTCTTTATCTTATTTTTGTTTCATGATTATAAATAACAATTAAAATAATGTATATGTAATAAAACTTTTATATATATATATATATATATATATATATATATATATATATATATATATATATATATATATATATATATATATATATATATATATATATATATATATATATATATATATATTAAAACAAATAATTTACTTTTACTTTTATATATATCATAAATAAATCATAGTATTATAATCATATTTCTTGACTTTGAATATAAAAAAAAATAAAAAAAAGTATTATAAAAATAATAAAGAAGAATTTATGATATAAAATGTCCGGTTTATAAGTGAAAATTACATTATGACACTGGGTGGGGCTCGCATACTACAGAGATATTACTCGACTTATATATTTAATTAATAAAATGGAATGTTCTAGCTTCTCGAACGATTATAGTAGAGTACCTTTTATCTTTATCGTTTATTTTTACTTTTAATTATTAAAATCCAAATATACACGTGATTAACTGAGAAAACTAAATTTATGAAACTGGTCTATGGTTATAAAAACTATTTATGTGCTATGGTGCAAATTTTAATCTACAATTTTTACTATTTAGTGATAATTTTATCGTTAAATTCTTTAGAATGATAAAGTTATTTTTAGGCGGATGTATTTTATTTAGATTGAGGTTAAATTCTTTAGTGATAATACTATTTTGATATGAAATCCTCTCTAAATTGATTTTTTTTTTTAAATTGGTTTTTTTTTTTATAAAATAGATTTTAAAACTGAGCATGTGATCAGTCCGACCCACTCCCTTTCATGGATGATGCGGTAGGACACATCCTAAGCAAGTGGAATAAAACTCTGTTAAAGAATAACTGAATTTTTCGTTGGACTGATCCACTTACATAATAGAGTGACTCACTCCAGCTATATAATATAGTGACTCACTCCAGCTATTACTTTAACCAGACATACCCGGAAGACGTGTAACAAGTTTTATAAGTGTGAGAATTAGTCTCCTCAGTGACTCCTGCATCAGAGTTTTCATATATAAATACTTAGATAAGCACTTGAATAAACCATTCATCTTAACATATCATAATAAAATAAATCTTCTTGTACATCTTACCGTGGACAAGGTAGTATCTATTGTACTCACTGCAAGTATAGTAGGTGCCTATCGTGGGACTCAAAAAAACTAACTTTGACCACACTCTTATCTGAAACTCTTGTCGGTATGATCGTTGTTCCACAATGGTGAGACATGGCGCCAACAACAACAACAACCAAGAGTCCATAATGGAGATGCAAAACCCTATGGAATAATTATGTCGCTATAGTGAAAACTTGCAGGAAACCATTTTGCATTATCAACAACAACGTCAGCATAAGGTCTACCAGTCAAAGGGTATAGAGATTCAAGTTGTCATCACTTGTAACCTTCGATGGAAAAAGTGACCCACTGAAGCATATTAGTGCCATCAATACTCAGATGGAGATTATAGACACCATCGACTCCATAAAATGTAAACTCTTTTCCGAGACATTTAAGAAGAAGGCGCTGAGACGGTATATGAACCGACCTAGGTTCTCTGTGAGCATCTACCAAGACCTCTTTAGGAAGCTAGTTCACTAATTCTCTACAAGAAAACATCGGAAGGTCTCAACGACCGATTTGTTCAATATTCGCCAATGACATTTTGAATCTCTGAGAAAATACCTAACCAGGTTCAACAAGGTTACCATCAAAGTGGTCTACCCCAGCCAACAAATGTTCGTGGAAGCTTTTCAGAATTGACTCAAAGCCCGTTGTTTCCATTGAAGAGGTTATGGTGCATGATGAATATTATATAAAGGGTGAGGAAAACAACACCAAAAAAAAGAATAGGGATGTGGATGAGTGTAGCGCCAGAGGATCTAAATCCTCCATCAGCGTTGGATTTATTTCACGTCACTCATTTGTGACATGGTTGTGGATTTATGTGCTTGCACATACAATTGTCTACAATTGTTAGATGATTTTGTTGGTTTTGATTATGGCTACACCACATGTCAAGTGATATTTTGTGAAGTCTTTGTTTATCAAGATGTTCTCTGTGAGATCAAAATGTTCTTTGTGAGATCAAATATAAAGCCACGTCAACAATGACAACACTTAAGGTCAAACGGCATTCGATGAAGTCTTTCTTGATATTTATCCAATAACCTTTGATGATGGCACCAATCAAGAATTTATCTCAAGCCCTATCAGTTAGAATATACAAGTTTCAGTTGAAGTGATAAGTAAAAGAAGAGAGAAAGTGTAAAAGTTGGTATAATCATGCGTTTAACGTGTGTCTGAGTGATCGATTTAATATAAAGGTATAAGAGTAATTCTCAATATACTAAGGCAACTCGCACACGCATTCTCTTTAAAATGTTTTAAAGTCTCTCTTATTTGATAAAACCCCTGAAAAATGTTTTTATATGCATCCTTAATTAATTATTGACTTGTTTTATCAATTATGAGACTTTTTCACTAGTTAATCAATTACTAGATTATTGTTAATCGATTAACATATTTTTAATGCCTCTGATCGATTAGATTAGAATTTAATGGATTAATAAAGGCGTAATTCAAAAACTTTTCATATTAGAAATGTCAAATCAATTAATAGGTAGGGTTAATCAATTAAGACATTAAAAGTGCTCATAGATCATTTCCTTTTTGAGTAAAGTCTTTTCCTATAAATATAGGGATTTCCCTTCATTTCATTTTACACTAGAATTCGAATTTGAAATCATTCTTTCTCACTTTCTACTCTCTTCTTTTTAATTTTCTAATTATTCACTAAAGTTGCCTAATGTCGAGAGAGTAAAAAATATTTATGAGATTTTTGTTTTACCGGTGTTGTGCTTATCTTGCACTTTACTCAAGAGAATGTTGTCTCTTGTGTAATATCTTTAAAAGAATTATTTTTTTTTTGTTCTTGAGATTAAATCCAATGACAATATTTGTTTGGTTCGTGCTTATCTTGCACTTTACTCAAGAGAATGTTGTCTCTTGTGTAATATCTTTAAAAGAATTATTATTTTTTTTGTTCTTGAGATTAAATCCAATGACAATATTTGTTTGGTTCGTGAGCTCAACATGTGAAAAGCTTTTGTTTGGTTCTCGAGATTAACTAGTGGAAGTATTTGTTTGGTTTAAGAGCTTAGTCTGTGAAAAACTTTTTTTTAGTTCTTGAGATTAGTCTGTTAAAATCTGTGTTTGGTTATTGAGTTTAGCCTGTAAAAGACTTTGTTTGATTCCTGAGCTCAACATAATAAAAGCTATGTTTGGTTCATGAGATTATCCCATTAAAATATCTTGTTTGGTTGGGGGATTAACCAGTGTAAAATCATTTATTTGGTTGTAAGAAGGTCCATGGACACGGGCTGTGAAAAACTCACATCTTTATTTAGTGAAACTCTTAGGAGTAGATCAAGTGGTTAGCCCGAACTTGTATAAATATCTAGTGTTTGTTATTTTTACCTTATATCTTTATTTTATTTTTGCTATATTTCTCTCTTCATATTTTCTCAATTCTTTCTTTTTTATCTCTTCTTTATTCTTTCATTTTAACTGTTCTGCTGCATAATCTCTGTTTTATAAAATTAACTCAAATGTTTTTATAACTTTAATGTTTTTATGATTGGACTTCGATTTTTTATCACATAATTCACACCGCATCCGCTTTTATGTTTGGAGTTACTTGGTCAATGACGACCTTCAAACCCACTATGAAGCCATAAAGATTTACATGCCATTTAACACCAGGTGAGAGAAGATTTGGTGTGAAGTACTCCACACAAACGTTATATCACCTTCTCCAACTCCTAAGTGGTAATTAATAGGGAATGAACCAAATAAGTGTTGTTATATCACCTTCTCCAACTCCTAAGTGGTAATTAATAGGGAATGAACCAAACAAGTGTTGTAAGTACTGCAATGTAAAGGGTCATCATAAATATGAATTTCATTAGCTGAAGAAGGAGATAAAACTCCTCATCGATGAAGGATGTATGAGAACATATATTCAGGGAACCACACAATGTTCTGTCAAGATATCTTTGAATTCTGTCAAGATATTCAAATGTGCTTGAATCCACACCAAGTGTTAGTCCAGGGTCAAAGAAGATAAATTCTCAGGACTCACGCTAACGAGAAGATGGATAGAAGTGAGTCCAGAAAAGTGTCTGACCATCGTCTATATGAGGACCCCGATCACAATCAAAGAAGGAAGATCATTCTACTTCTTCACCACCCTGAAAAAGAAAGAAAATTTTGAGTGGACCGAAGAGCGTGAGGAAGCCTTTTCTAAACTGAATCATTTAGTTGTGCCTGCCTCGATCTTAGTTCTCCCAATAGAGGGGGCAACCTTATTTTCAAACTTGTTAGTGACAGATAAGGTTGTGAGCTCGGTGCTAATCCAAGAACAGGAAGGAAGCTACTAACCAGTTTACTTTGTCAGTAAAGTATTCAAAGAAGCATAGTTGAGATATCAGAAGATGGAAAAGTTGGCAATAGCGGTCGTAAAAATGGAAATGAATTTAGGCCTTACTTTCACGGACACAAAGTCATCATGAAAACGAACTACATGGTTCTTCAGGTATTGAAGAAACTAGACATGGCCAAAAGGATGGTTTCATGTTCTATCGAACTATTAGAGAATGAAATTGCCTTGGTATTAATGGAGATGCATAAAAGTGGTTTTGGGAGTCACATTGGAGGGAGGACTAAAACTAGAGATGACAATGTTGAGTCTAAAATTGATTCTGAAGAAGATAGAAATATTGAAGTTGATGTAAGATATAGAAATAATTTAGTATATACAATTATTATTATTATTATTATTATTATTATTATTATTATTATTATTATTATTATTATTATTATTATTATTATTATTATTATTATTATTGAATCTACTCATATTCAAGAGTCTAATCTAACACCAATATGCTTTTATATAGTTATGGATCTCTCACAGAGCAACCAAGTGCAAGCGATCATAGGAACTATCACACACAATGAAGCAACATTTGCAAGTGAATTCAGTGACACCATAAACACCATTCCTATCATGTCTCTAACTTCATTTTCAACCAGACCAGAACTATTATCTCCTAGATTGCCACATTTCATCCAAGTAGGTGATGATATTAACCTTCACATGAAATGTATATCAGCAATTGTAGGAGAATTCGGATGGAAAAAGGTGACAGTAATTTATGAACTTAATAACGACTTTTCATCTGATCCAGGGATGCTACTTAGCCTCTCTTATTCGCTTAAACTAGTTGGTTCTGATATTGATAACCATTTAGGTTTTCCTTCCTTATCCACTCTTTCAGACCCAAAAACTAGAATTGAAAATGAGCTTAATAAGCTGAAAAAGAAGAGAAATAGGGTCTACCTGATTGTTCATTCTTCTTTAGAGCTAGCTAACATGCTTTGTGAGAAAGCAAAACAAATAGGTTTGATGGAAAAAGGTTCTGTCTGGATTATCCCAAATGAAGTTGCTGGCCTTCTTGATTCGGTTAACTCTTCTGTTATCTTCAACATGCAAGGTGTAGTTGGATTTAAAACACACTTCATTGAAAAGAGTGAGGCTTTTAGACAGTTTAAGTTCAAATTCCAAAGAAAGATTGCTCTGGAATACCCTGAAGAAGATAACATAAATCCAAGTATTTTTGCACTTCAAGCATATGATGCAACTAAGGCTATTGCTAAGGCTGCAAATAAATCATTACAAGGAAAATTTGAAACACTAAGTGGAAAGACTTTCTCAAAGAATGGACAATTGTTGCAATCACAAGCTTTCAACATAATTAATGTGATTGGGAAAAGTTATAGAGAAATGGCATTTTGGTCTTCAGCACTTGGTTTTTCCAACAACATTGTTAGCACAAACAAAGATGATTCTAATGGAGTTTTCAAAACAGTTTATTGGCCTGGAGAAATGCAATCAGTTCCGAAGGGTCACAATAATGAAGAAAGGTCGTTGAAAATAGCAATACCTTCAAATGGCGCTTTTACTCAGTTTGTGAATGTGGAATATGATCGGGGAAACAATGAACCTACGGTCACTGGTTTCTCAATCAGTATCTTTGAAGCAGCTGTTAAACGGTTACCTTATGTTTTAAATTACAAGTTTTGTCCCTTCAATGGGACATATGATGAAATGGTTGATCGTGTCTACAATAAGGTATGGTAACTGCTAACTAGTTTATCGTTGCTTCTGCTTAACACAAATCTAACATTTTGTTTCTGATGCAGACATTGGATGCTGCGGTTGGTGATACGTCAATAATGGCATATAGATATCATTTAGTGGAATTCTCACAACCTTATATTGAATCTGGTTTACACATGGTGGTTACTGAACAACCAGCAAAATCAAAACAAACATGGATGTTTTTGGCTGCCTTTACAAAAGAGATGTGGTTCATGATGACAGCTATGCATGTTTTTGTGGGATGTGTTATTTGGTTGATTGAAAGGGAAGTAAACGAAGATCTAAGGGGATTTGGGTCCATGCTATGGTTTTTAGTCACTGTACTATTTTATGCACACAGTAAGTCCTCTAACACGACAATTTTGTAGGGTTGAGTTACGCTTAACTAGTAGTTTTCAAAAGCATAACCTAATTCGTTGCACATTTTCAATATGCAGGAGAACCAATAAGAAGACCCTTAGCTCGAGTTGTACTGACACCATGGTTATTTGCTATTTTCATTGTGACAAATAGTTTCATAGCAAGTTTGACATCTATAACTATTTCACAAGTAAAGCCATCTGTGTTAGATATACAGACCCTTAAAGAAAGAAATTCCCCAATTGGCTGCGACGGAAATTCCTTTATTGTCAAGTATTTGACTGAAGTACTAAAATTCAAGCATGAGAACATAAGGAAAATAAATTCCATGAGTCACTACCCTGCTGCCTTTGATAACAAGGAAATAGAAGCCGCCTTCTTCGTCGCGCCTCATGCTAAAGTCTTTCTTGCAAAGTACTCGTGTAAGGGCTTTATCAAAGCAGGGAACACTTACAGGCTTGGTGGCTTTGGTTTTGTGGGTTTCTCTCCTTTCACTGTCACTGAATTTTTGACATGTTTGGTAGAAGTGAAATTGGGGTAATTAGATTAATATTTTAGACCCAACAGATGTTTCCGTAAACTAAATCTAACATTTAAACACTCACTAAGTTACATGACATTACACACAAGCTTTTAAAAAATGGTTGATTACCATAACTGCGATCGCATTCGCTGTATTTAACCACATTTTTCTACAATATAAAGAACTAGTACTTTACCTGCAATTTAAAACCTTACTATACATGGTTTTCTTAATTCTTCAAAAACTGATTAACTTTTGTGCTACATTGTGTGGTTTCAAACCATAGGTATTTCCAAAAGGTTCAAGTCTAGCTGCCGAAATATCAGAGGCATTGCTGAGTATGATAGAGAGTGGAGAAACAGAACAACTAGAAAAAGAAATGTTGAATGAAATAGAAAATGGAAGCAAAACCAATTGTTCTGATTTAGAGAGCAAGGGAAAACATAATTCATCGATAGGCCTTCTGCCTTACCTTGGTCTGTTTTCAATCTGTTCTACTATTGCTATTCTTGGTTTGTCATATAACATGATTTGTTGGTTAGTGAAGAATGTAGAAACTTTGACAAGCCACGCAGTTTTAACATTGACACAAGTATGGAGAATATGGAGATGGACAGCCAATATTTTTGCTCGGTTCTGTTCAAAACTGAAATCAAGGATCATGAGAAGAGTAAGCAGCTGCACAGAAACAAGAAATGCAGAAGAGAATGTTGCAAATAATAGCCAGCAAATTCCAGTGGTGGTTGAGCTTGTTGATACTGTACTGGCTGCTCGTGCTTCATGAACTATACATTATGTTCATACTGCTGTAAAAATTAGTCTATTACTGCCAAAATTTTAACATTTTGGATACTCACTTTGCTTAGATACTATAACAGGTGCGATTGATGTTACGTAATGACTGGTCATAGTAACCTTCTTTCAAAAGGAAAACAAATAATCCGTATCGTGTCCCAAAAATTGGAAGCAAATTGATATGAGCACCTTGATGATTACAACCTACGACAAACTTAATTTCGTTCTCCATGTTTCTCCAACAACCTTTCTGGGTTGTGGATTATCCGGTCCTCTGTCCCTCTGTCCTGATGTAAAGTATAGCCATCCATCCCAAAATCCAGCTAATGTTGTTTTCACTCGGTATGGAAGTTTTCCTATCACTGACCATTTCTGCAATCAATAGTAAAACCATTTAGGAACTGAACATAAATCAGAGGTATTTTACATAGACCAAAACTATATGTAAAAAGCAAAACAGTACCATAGAGTCTAAGTTAAATTGGAAGACCTCTCCAATCAGCATCATCCTTTTCGTAACTGGGTGCTTTTCTGTTGTACCTCCGGTAATAATGATTGAATTGTTGACAATTACCCATGCACACTCTATATGGGAGTCTGGCTTTGGCATAGGTGGCAAAACTTTCCATTTCATTTCATCATCCAGCATATAAACATCTCCATAGACCACCTGAAATTTTATAGAGTTTAAGGCCACAAAACAAAAGCATTGCACAAAAATTTAATATTAAGAATTCAATGTGTGCCAGTCTCTCATGTATATTAGGTATTTTTTTCCAAATGAGTGGGAACTTTACACACACCTTGTGCACCAACCACTTGCACTAGACCCCAATGGTATATCATATATGGTGTGACAACTGACAAAAGAGGTGTAATTATGAAGAAGATTATATCTATCAAGTTCAATTTTCTTTTTCATATCTTTGAATTCAACTATCTAAATTACAATATGCAACAGAGAACTCATTTATGCAACTAATAACCAAAGAAGATAATACCTCATGTCTGCGTGAACACTTGAATATTGGTGAACCTGGTTTAGGCATGAAATCACCCTCTTGTCCACCGATAACATAAAGGCGATCATTGACCACAATGCAAGCCCTATACCAAATAAGGCAAAAGTTAGATGAAAGTCCAACAATTTCCTTTCACAGACAATGAATATTGCATCACTTCTCAAGTAATCCTTGAAAAGTTTCCTAGGTTTGTACTTTGTAGAGACCCAAGTTTGGTTTTCTTAAAACATGGATTTCTATTTAAATATTTAAAAGTGTTCTTTCATTAAAATCATCGGTAGAAGATACCGTGGTATATGTGCATCAACAAAATATCAAATCAAAATCTCAACCAATTTTCCCATTATATAGAGTAACATAGTTATCAATGCGAGCTGTATCTTGATTTGATACAAAACTATATCTAACTGATACGAGTCACTAACTAGTGTATATCTATTTCAAACATTAATTTCATCTAGAGTTCCGATATGTTAATGAGATTCCATTCACTATTCAGAAAGTAGGTCGTTTGATTCACGATTTGAAGTCAAACTTATAGTGTCTTGTATTGTATGAATTTAATGAGATCAAACATTAAGGTTAACCATTGCACAGGCATAAAGATTTTCACTAACCTATGCGGTCCACCACGTGGAATAGGAATTTCAGTCCGCCATTGTTTCTCCAAAGCTTTCCCATCCTTTACCGCCAGACTCCAATGATCCAAGGCAGGTGTATGGCGATTCTCCTTGCCACCACCCATGACATGGAGTCTTCCCCTCCACAATTGAGTTGCAGGAGCATACCTGAAAACTCCAATGTCTAATGAGATGACATTATAGAATAGGATAATACAATAATTCGAATTGATACCTTGGGAACGGCAATGGAGGCAAATGATCCCATTTCTTTGTTTTGGTATCTAAGACAAAGACGGTGGAAATAGATCCTCTGCACTGTGGGCCATACTGTCCAGAGACTATATATATAAACCTCCCATCAGTTGCAACTCCCAAATGTGAATGAGCCATTTCTTTTGGTGTATCAAACTTATCTACCCACTTATTGGTCCTGAAATCAAACACATCAACATGAGAGTGCACCTGCAAATGTGTATGCAAATGTGTAAGAAACCAATAAACAAATCATCACAGAGTCAGTAAGAAAATAATACTAACATGATCAAGATTGGCGTATCCTGAAAAGACATAAAAAAGATTATGAATCTGAATAGCGTAACCATCTAAACGAGGGACAGGAGCGGAATCCATTTGCTCCCAATTCCATTGAGGAGCGGGTAAATCCGCGAACGTAGCAGAAAGAAATCTCTGGGGAGTTTTGTGTTGTGTTCTGGTGGTGCTGTTAGGGATATCAATGAGCCAATTGGAAGTGACTGATAGGTGAGAGGAAGAGTGAAAGATGTGGTTACCAATGAAAGCGATGGCGATGAATGTTGATAGAGAAAGGAAGATGATGGTGATGATTTTGGTGGAGAGTGTGCGTTTGGCCATTGGTTGGAGATTGTATGAATGGTGAGAAATGTGTTAGCCATTTTTATTTATTGTTGTTGTTTGGGGGAAACTGTGGGAGATGGAGGATGAGAATTCAGAAGGAGAAAGGAAGGAAGTATTGAAACAAAACAATGGTTGCGCGCCGGTGGTTTTCTTAAATCCACACGCACAGCCTTCATTTTTTTCGTACGCAACTTCTTCCCAGATTTAAATTTATTTTTTATTTGCGTCTCTCCAAGAGCTCACTTTTTCCCTACATATATTATGGGCTAATTGTGCAAATTGAATATAACAAAATTTATGGGCTAATTGTGCAGTGATGATTTCTTAGACTTTTTTTTTTTATGTTGTTTACAAGTTTATGTAATAAGTAGTGATTTGTATCATAACCAGAATTAGTGTTGATGGATGACGTGGGACTCTGAAATTGATGATATAGACCTTCGATATATTGGCACAAGATGGATCAATTAGGTTAGTATTTCAACATTCAAGTCAGTTATTGAGTTTAATGTGAGTATAGTGAAAAATGAATATCAGTTAAGTGTATTTTGAATCTCACGTGTGCTGACTATATACGTTGGATAATCTTGATTGGGGCGTGTGTAGTTGGGTCTTCATGCAAGGCATTTATCTGGCACTGAACAGTTGCCCCTAAGGTTTGTTGAATGTGTGCTAGCCAAAAAGTCTTTCAAAATCGTGGTCGACAACTAGTGATTGTGTCTGACTGTTTCCTGCGATTTCGACATACACAAATATTAGAAATAAGGCATAGGATTCAAAGATACATTATGAAGAAGAATGTATTGATTTCGACAAAACAGTGATAAGAACATTTTGACACATGATCTGTTTATCAAGGAAGTTATGATCTAGAACTTAGAAATAGTTTTGGTTAAACTAGAGTTCGACGAAGCTTACCTGGAGTAACGTTCGACAGGTGCAATTCAAAATAAGGCTGATAACTATTTTTTGACCTTATCGGTTTTCAAGACACGTGGAGAGTTTTAAGCAGCGAAATGCATGCATATTGAAGACGTGGCGTTTTCTGGCGAGAAGACTGTGTTAGATAGCGGTTATTTTTGAGTTAGTATAAATAGAGTATTAGCAGTTAGGATTCGGGGGTGTTCAAACTTGTACAAAAAAACTCTAAATTTACTCTAAGTGCCTGTGCGTGAGAAATGAGTGTTTTTGAGTGAAAATGTACGTGTGAATACCATATTTTACATTTTTTTACCAGATTATTTAAGATTCTTCTTGTAATTTATATTTGCTGCAATTTACTTTAAAGTCAGTTTCGACATTTAAGATCTTGTCATTTACTTTAAGGTCATTTACTTTGTAATATGTACTTCTGCATTTCTTTAAAGAATTGCAACGCTTCATTAACAACTTTGAAGAACATTGCCTAAATGTTCATAATTAACAAACCTAGAAACTAAATAACAACACATGTCCTAGGATCAATCTAGTCGATCCTGTAAGTAACCAAAAGTTTAATAAATTTGGAAGACTAGTATTTGTTTACCAATTTCGACGGTAAACAAATTGGCACGCCCAGTGGGACCGGTGTTGTTAGTTAGAATTTGTGAAAAATATTTAGAAGTTCTTCATTTCTGATTTTATTTAACTTCATTGCATGAGATTAAGAAGTGGTAAAATAATCATTAATAACGAAGAAATGCCAAGAAGGAGACGTGTAACGATGGTGAATCCGCCAAACAATAATGGAGAACCATACCAAGAGGGAAACTACGGCCACAACGTCTATGTCCGAAGTAATTTAATCTACGGCAAGTACGACGACCATACCGTCGAATGCTTACAATGGACCAATTTTGATGGTCGCGAACAGCCATATGGCATGCCTTTTGTATCTGGATTCACAATGCCTTTAAATGGTCGCGAACAACCATATGGCATGCCAACTTCGATGATGGCGAATCTACATAATGCAACTGCAGCGTTCGATCACCTAGTGATGAACACGTTTTCGTCTATTCAAGGGTCTGGATTTACTGTTAATAATATGGGTCGAAATTATCCACTCCCAGGGATGGAATTCTCTACCCAGATGCCCAATTTTATTATGAATTATGTAGCAGTTTTGAGGCAGCAAATGGACGTAAGTAACCATGATATGGTCCATATGCTTGCCCAACATATGGGCACCATATTTAATCCTTTGATTTAAAATACCACCCAAATGAATCAGCAATTGGCAGCGCAGATGACTCGAATTGCAAATTTTTTTGGAGTTCCTCAAGCACCTCGACAGATCCGAAGGGAGTTAATAGTCGAAAACCAGAGGACAATCCTTGAAGAAGATCCTACAATTAACCAAGCCCAGCAAAACGCGCCCCATGTCGATATGGTTGATCAAGGAATTAGAGTCAAACCTCCTAGGGTCGAACAACCAGTTCCAAGGGAGCAGGAACCAAGGGTGGTGATAGTTAATAGGAATCAAGACGCGAATGAAGTTGTACATCAAGTTTAAAATGATGGAATGGTAGTGATAACAATTTGGCTTCCATGGTCGAAAGGATTATGGCACGAAATAGGGTGAATGCTGGCCTCCATAAGCCAAATTATACTTCCCCATTATCTGATTATGTTTTACAAACTCAACTGCCTAGGGGATTAAAAGTCCCAAAGTTCACAAAATTTTCAGGAGATACTAGTGAATCAACTTTCAAACATGTGACGAGATATCTGACTGAAGCAGGGGATTTTGCGAATAACGAAAACTTAAGAATAAAATACTTCCCTGGTTCACTCACAAAATATTCCTTCACATGGTTCACTACACTCCTAGTGATTTTGGTTCATGATTGGACTCGTTTAGAAAGATTCTTCCCGTGAACAATTTTACATGGGGAAGTCGAAGATCAATCGGGAAAAATTGGCTAGTTTCACACCCCAAATTTTACCCCCTAGATTTCATAATCATTTGCATAATATTTTAGGTCAATCGCTGATGCATAGCTAATCAATTATCAAGATATGTTTGCGTTTTTTGTTCACCTGTGAATTAGAGTTTGCCCTAAGAGGCTCAAAGGGTTGATCAGTAAAGATTTTTGATGGATCATCAATCAAATAAGTTCTAATACACTTAAAAGACCTCCCTTTATCAGATATCAAATTCAAATTGGCTTCACTACAAGTTATCCAAGATCCAAGTTCATTTGGCCATATATTAGGGTTTTGTCAATCAAAGTCAACTGATGTCGTAACCCGAAATTTGACATCCCCTCTTGCCTTTTACATAAGCATGTGCATTCGCATCGTTGGCATACGCATTCACACTTTTTCTCTGTGATTGTTGTTGCAGGAATATTCAGGTTTTCTAAAGCTCGATTAATCACATCCTCTTAAAAATATCACATCACCAAAACAAGCACAAAATGAAGGTTTCTATGTCTATTCATCAAAGCAAAAGGTCGAAAGTCGAAACCATGGCCATAACACCATTTTGCAAGCAAAATATGCAAATTTTGCATGTGGTAATCGGTTACCACTTTAGGGTAATCGGTTACCCTGTGCAAAAATGCAGTTTTGCTGCATTTTGTGTGACAACACTTTCACTCTACCATTTTGGGGTCTACGTTGTTCTAGCATTATGTGGAACATTCTAGACATCTCTAGACACTTCAAGACCTTTCAAGATACTTCAAGGTATTTGCTCCAATACATCAATTTGGATTAAGACCACCATGTCGCTTCATTCCCAAGCATGTTAGCCCTTATATTCAAGTTTGCATTGGGATGGTCATCGAGTCAACTACCTAACTAACTGAGTTAACCTCCAACTCAAAGAGTTGAGGCTAACTAACTCCAAGGCAAATTCTAAGGCTACATCCAAAGCTCACTCCGAATCTAGCAACTCTGAAGCAAAAGTCTATATAAGCAAATCACCACCATTTCACAAGGAGGTTCAATCATTTTTCTCAATTTCCACATTCTTCATTCCCATTCTCTCTGAATTTTCTGCAACATTTTCACATTCATCTTCATCCTCTCCCAAAAACTCCTCACAAAAGCTCAATTTCCACCATTAGAGTGTAACAATCTTCGCATCGAAATTGTTATTCTCTTGAGCTAAACCTCATTCCACCATATTCCTACTTGGATTTCTGGATTTACAGTAGATTCTTCCCCAATTCAAGTAATTCTCTCAAGCTTCTTCGGTGCAAATCGATATTCGAAGCATTTATCACATTTTTATCGATTTCGCTATGATTTGATCTCAAGCTTGGAATTCTCTGGTTTACTTTGCTTATTCTCATCACACATCGATAGCAACAATCACCAAGGCAATCCTCTGCCTTGTAGGTTGGTAATTCGCACTTGATTTACTGTTTTGATCACTCTCACGCATTTACGATGTAGTTCGATCATTTTTCGGTGTTGATTGATCATGTGATTATTTGATCTTTGATCTTCATGTTTAATGCTTCCAATTGATGTTTAACTAATGCCTAAGTGATTTTGAACTTCATTTTTCGTGCTCAAATGTTAATCATGGCATGTGGCTGATTGGATAAGTCTTTTGGTTGCTGAAAGTGTTTTTTCCAAAACCTGTTTCTGCCACAATCACAGTGGTAACCGGTTACCTATATGTGGTAACCGGTTACCATGCACAATTTTCACGTGATTTTGCCATTTCTTAAGCAGGTAACTGATTATCTGCATGTGGTAATCGGTTACCACAGTGACAGCATGTCATTTTTGCCTATTTTCAAGCTTGTTTGCTATCCTTTCCTCATGTAACTTCCATGGCTTGATATGATTGGTATATATAGATGTTTCATGAGTTATTCACCTTTTGTTTGAAGCATGTATGCAAACTTTCAATATGCGATTTTTTTTATTCTCGATTATTTGCATTTTTGACACTTGTATGATCATGATCATTCTTGTACATCCTTTGATCACATGCTACATGATTCGTGATGCATACTAAATCACATGTGGTATTGTTTTACACTTCTATTCATGTT